GCAACTACTAAAAGAAAAACTCATTAGGTTTCAACCTGGAAAATGTTCAACACAATGAAGAAAACACAAGAATCATGTTACATAACAGAGAGTGATTTTAATTAACAATGACAGCCATACTGTCTTAGGAAAATACATTTGGCAAAAAGTCCTTTTTTCCCCTCTTAAAATAAAGATGTGGCCAAAAATATAGGTCCTGGTCAGTTATATTTAAAGCAAAGACAAGCATCTTTATTAAAAATAGCTAAAATTTCTCCACTTCAGTACAGTAAAAACTGCCAAACAAAGGGGACTAGAAAAATATAAAGACCAGATTCATAACTGGGTTGAATTACTTAACATTAAGAATAAAAGAATTCCTAGTTTCAAGGGGATAGTAGCTTTTTCAAATTATATAATATTTGGAACACAATAGTTCGGTGTATTTTAACATTTCATGATCCTAAGTTGACTGTAATTTTCACTTAGGAACTCATAGACCATACCTACAAAGGCCAAGCACTGTGCAAGGCTGGCCGTGGTAGCTGTGAAGGACACCAGCAGAACACTAAAATCTAAGGTTCATGTTCTGTTCTCAAAGGGGACTTCACAGTAGATGGACACCTGAAGGGAAATGCTGGGTGATATGGTCCCATAGCACCTTGTTGCCTTAGTTTGGAGCAGACATGTTCTAATAGCAGTTCAGATTGGGGGCTTACTTTCTTGGTTAGGAGTGCTGGTGGCTGGATCTAGGGCTGAAATGATCTTTTTGTAGGGCCATTTCTATGTAAAAATGTCCTCCTGAGGGTTTGTACTTTTTGCCTTCTCAAGTTACATCAGATGTCTTCTTGCTGCTTTCTGGATAACCCTGTTGTCCAGCCTTAACCCCACCAGGTAATGAGCTTCCTATCCTGTAGGTTCATGTACATGATGGCGGCTACTTTGTGTGGAAGCCCTAAAGGAGATTCATGCACTGGACAGATGACTGAACAAAATGAGTTCTGAGGTCCCTCTCAACCCTGTGTTTCTACAATTAAGGACGACTTGAGCATTTGATGTGAGGAAGAATTACCGAAAGAAGAAAGAAGAATTCAAGGATCTCTTGATGTTTTCATGGTTTAATATGTATCAAGGATCAATCACTCTTAAAATATTACTGATGATCAGTTAAGGTTGGTACCACTAAATTGTAGGACTGGGAAATGTGAGTAACTTTGCTGTCTCTGTAAAGCCTAGACTAGAAATATAAGTACACACACACAAAAAGCAACTATGCTAGACTTATATTGTGACTTTGTAGTTTCACATTAGTTAGACAATGTATAGATATAAATTAAACACAGCTGCCATTTAGCTTTTTGAACTGGAAACTCCTTTCTAAAGTTTTCTGTTCCAACCTCCTTCAACTGTGTGAAGTGTTTACCCACTGACCACTCCCATTCCAATGTTTTGAAGAAAACATTTGATAATCACTCCACATGTCAAAATAAACTACTAGTGTTAAAACTATATAGTTATAAAGCAATTCTTAACGTTTCCTACTCTATAAGTATGGCAAAAAATTGTTTCTTATAGTCTAAAAGCTACCAGCAGATATTTTCAAGAGAAATATCAGAGGGAGTTCTTAGTTTTACATTGGGAAGTGATATGATCTATTAGGAAAATAGCTCTTTTTGAATGAGAAAAACACTTTCATCCTCTTTCCAAGGCCAAGGTCCATGTTTTAAAACATCTTATGTTCTCAATGACTGGTACTGTACCCACAGAGAAATGAAATAAGGAAGAAAGCATCTAAATTAGCACTCAATTCCAGAGTGTGCGCCAGGTAAACTAGTACAGAAAAGCCCTTGGTAGTAATGTTGGGCTCTACTTAAAGTGAATTTGATTTATTTTTAAATGTAAAGAAAAAAGTACATATTCATATACTTTTCTTCACTAAATCTTACAAATTCCTTGAGCTCAGCTCAAGAAAGGCACTGTAATAGTCTCTCCCAAGGAAAAAACTCAAACAGAAATTCAGAAAGACTCATTCCTCCTATGAGAGGACAGAAGAGCAGGTAAAAGCTTCACATTAAGTATATAAGGATCAAGTCATGATGAATCTGTCTAGTTACATTTGAGAAGCTGTGTTTTCCATGTCATTTGTCCCTGGGTCCCCACTGCTCTCTCAGGGAGCAGTGCACATGGTCTTTTGCAGCCCTCCTGGCTGCACAGTGCTACTATGGGAAGACACCTGGACATGACACCGGAAGTTCAAAGTGGGAAGAGAAACATCAGGAAAGCAGGAAAGCACTTGTGTATTGTAAGTGATTCTGGCTCCTTTACGCCTCCCTAACAGGCGGCTGAGGGTAAATTTGTGGGCATAATCACAGTGACTGTGTTGACTTCTAGAATGAACATAGCTACATTTTTGTTTTTTCTTAATTCTGTTTAGCTAGATCTAATTTTCATTTTATAGCTATATGTACACATATGCAAAAATAATTTGTTTTTTGGTGAGATGCCTCAAAAGCATTTTAGAAAGAAAGAGTATTAATTTAGAAGTGCTAAAGCATTAATATTCAAAATACATTAAGGCAGGTAGTCCATTGCATAGTTATTATTTGTAAAGCATATTCTACCTTTGGTATTTTGAGTACAAGGAAATAGTGATGTTGTATTTTGAACATTAATATCTTATGAGAAAGTTGACTCCCCTTAAATATTGGATGCAGCATGGTTTACTCATTCCCAAGTGAACCTACAATTCTGATTTCATAGTGGAAACTGGGGGAATGAAATTAATTTTGAAGAAATGTTGTTTAAAAATTTTAAATTAAATCTCTCAGGCATGAAAAAAGGCAAAGAAAATATAAAACAAACACCCAGGTGTGCTAGCTTTGTCACAAATTAACATTTTGTCTTATGTATTTCAGATTTCTCTAAAGAAAGAGAGCTGGAATACAACCCCATTTCCATTTTCTTCCTTCCTCTTCATAGAGGTAACCCCAATCCTGAATCTATTTTTATCATTCCAATTAGAAATTTTAACTTTATTGCATGTGCATATATCCATATCAACTTACTTATTGAACAACTTTATTCAAATAGTATTACTCTGTAGTTATCATTCTGCAAGTATTTCTGAAGCTGTCTATGTTGTTATGCATAGTCTAATGTGCTTATTTTAACTCCTGTACGTGGTTTTGCTGTGTGAGAGTACTGCCACTGATGTAACTATTCTTCTGCCAATGAATTCTTAGTATTTTCCCTGAATTCTCTATTACAAGCAATGCTGTCACCAGTGTGTCCTCATGCAGAACCATTCTTCCAGCTCAATTTCAAGTATGCTTGAATCCAGCCACTGGCACTGTAACATCATTACTCACTCCTCCCTCTCTCTCACTCCCTACATCTGACCAACATGCCCAGACCATGAAGTATTTCTCTGACTGCTCCATCCCACTCTTCCTTTTCATCATTGAAATAGTTCAAGCTGTTATCATTGGACTGTTGGTCTGCTCATAGGTTTCCCAGGCTCTCCCCATTCAAATCAATCCTCTACCCTGCTGTCTGCTGGAAGAAGGCATTAAAAGGCCTAAACTGGCCATGCCATGCCCCCATGTGTCTGCTGCATGTGGAACACAATTAAGTTCCTTATAAAAGTCTCCAAAATGGGCTGGGCATGGTGGCTCATGCCTGTAATCCCAGCACTTTGGGAGGATGAGGTGGGCAGATCACCTGAGGTCAGGAATTTGAGACCAGTCTGGCCAACACAGTGAAACCCTGTCTCTACTAAAAATATAAAAATTAGCTGGGCATGGTAGTGCACACGTGTAATCCCAGTTACTCAGGAAGCTGAGTCAGGAGAATCGCTTGAACCCAGGAGGTGGAGATTGCAGTGAGCCGAGATCACGCCATTGCATTCCAGCCTGGGTGACAGAGCAAGACTCTCTCAGAAAAAAAAAATTGCCTAAATGAAGACTGTATCTCTCTCTGGCCTTGCTTTCTTTAATTTTTTTTTTTTGGAAACAGAGCCTCACTCATCACCAGGTTGGAGTGCAGTGGTATGATCACGGCTCACTGCAGCCTTACCTCCTGGGCTTAAGTGAGTCTCCTACCTCAGCCTTCCAAGTAGCTGGGAGGTGGCACAGGCACGTGCCACCACACACAGGTATTTATTTTTATTTTTTGTAGAGATGGGGTCTCCCTGTGTTGCCCAGGTTGGTCTTGGACTCCTGGTCTCAAGTGATCCTCTTGCCTCGGTCTCCCAAAGTGTTGGGATTATAGGTGTGAGGTACCATGCCTGGCCCTATAGTAAGTTTTAACACAGCAGCCCCTCTTGCTGGTAGCTCCAGAACTATATCCAATGCTGTTTCTGAGCTTGTAACTGGAAAGATCTCTACCTATCCAGCCAATGCCTCCTCATCCTTTAGGCCAACTTTGGTTTCATGTCATCCAGGAAACCCATCCTCTGTGCCCAGTGCAACCTCTGTTGAGTGAGACTTGCCACGTTTCCCGACACTCACAAAACCACTAGTGTTCCTCATCAGTCTGTGGGTGACTTAAGTGCAGGCACTGGGTTTTATTCATCTTTCTATCCGTGGGGCCTAGTAAAGTATGTGGGAATACAAGCAGGCACTCAGACACCAGCTGAACTAAAGTGTAAGGTAGCCAATCCATCAAGTATATTTTATTTTCATAATAAAGGAGAGCCTGTCTACTTCAAACAACTAGATTTACTATGAAATACATAGTAAAAAAGGTCATATTCAGTCCTCCATGAATAAGACATCTGTTAGCTGATATTTACAAATTAATAAGTATAATAACTGATACTAACAGAGATGACCCTGTAGCTCTATAAATGGTTTCTGATTCATTAGTCTAAATACTACTCAGCCTTCACAGTTGTGAGCACTATATATATCTCATCATCTATTACCTGGAACCTCTAACTCTTCCACAATGCCACTATAAAAGGGCACAGTCTAGAATGTTTTCAGTATTTCCTCTAGGACAAGATCACATTCTGTACCTACCTGTAACAAGCTCCCTTACTTCTGCATCAATAGATTTTCTCAACAGTCGCAACAAGGCAGGTATCCCACCAACATTCTTCATTGCTATTTTATTTTCATCTGTAGACTTGCCAAAAACGAGGTTTCGAAGGGCACCACAAGCATTCTTTTGAACTTCCAACACTCTGTGGTCCAAAAGGTCAACCAGATGCTTGATTCCCCCTAACCTACACACCTACAATGAAAAATATTAGGTACCAGACCTAAGTAACATGCAATTAATCAGTGATCAAACAGAAGTCTGTTACGGTGAGATCACAGTATGTGGATATCGCCAGATCATGTCAAAGGTTACTTTTTATTCCAAATAAGACAACAATTCTAAGGAGAGGCCAGGCCCGATGGTTCATGCCTGTAATCCCAACACACTGGGAGGCCAAGGTGGGTGGATCACTTGAGGTTAGGAGTTTAAGACCAGCCTGGCCAACATGATGAAACCCTGTCTTCACTAAAAATACAAAAATCTTAGCTGGGCATTGAAGCACACGCCTGTAATCCCAGCTACTCAGAAGGCTAAGACCCAAGAATTGCTTGAATCTGGGAGGTGGAGGCTGCAGTTAGCCAAAGTGGCACCACTGCAGTTCAGCCTGGGAGAAGAGCAAGATTCTGTCTCAAAAAAAAAAAAAAAAAAAAAAAAATTATAAGGACACTCTCTTAGATGATACTTTCTTCCTGGCTTCAGAAAGAGGAGATCTAGGTGGTTTAATGCCCATTGGCAGGTGGCACAGTCCTCCAACTCTCAGAACACACAAGGATTGTACTTTCACTCCAGCAGTGCAATGTGCAAATGCACAAACACAGCAAAGCTACATGCAGGGCTTTAGACAATATAGGAAATAATTTTTGACTTAAGTTATTTAGTTTCTAGAATTAGTTCTCTAAGCTCTCCTTAAATTTTCTTACACTTGTCAGTTCATTAGTATATTACTTGAGTATTTCTGGGCTTTATTTATTACATTCACTTTTAGGTCTGGAGCTGGTATGCTGTGTTATATATTAAAATGATGAAAAACACCTCAGTTTTATATAACACTGTAGGTCAGAGGAAGGCTTGAGACATTGAAAGAATCTGTATGTAATATAGAATTACAGACAATAACCAATAACGTGCTATGTTTCTAAAAATACCAAAAAAACCCCTTGCAATAAAATATTCATATATGTTCAGCATTAGTGATGGTTATAATCCTCTATAACTTATTTATAGTTGGCACCAATCTGACCAGAATCCCATAAAACACATTAGCTCACTAGTTCAATAAATACTATAATTTTTACCTAATAGGTTTACATTTTCTTTCTGAGACAGAGTCTTGCTATTTGTTGCCCAGGCTGGAGTGCAGTGGCTTAATCTTGGCTCACTGCAACCTCTGCCTCCCAGATTCAAGTGATACTTCTGCTTCAGCCTTCTGAGTAGCTGGGATTACAGGCATGCACCACCATGTTCGACTAATTTTTTAAGTAGAGATGGGGTTTCACCATGTAGACCAGGCTGGTCTTGAACTCTTGACCTCAGATGATCTGCCCGCCTCTGCCTACCAAAGTGCTGGGATTACAGGCGTGAGCCATCATACCCGGCCTAAAAAATATTTTCTAAATGCAGGTTAAATTGATTTTTGCTTCATGGTTTTATAAATAAGCTAATAAAGTAGACATATGACTTGAAAATGCTGAAAGCACTCCAAGAAATATATTTATCCTAGTTTTTCCTGTTACTGAAATGTATAGTTAAGCGAAAGAGTATCCAGTATCAAAATATTCCTTTAAAAAGACTCTTGCAGCGGTGGCTCACGCCTGTAATCCCAGCACTTTGGGAGGCCGAGGCGGGTGGATCACGAGGTCAAGAGATCGAGACATCCTGGTCAACATGGTGAAATTCCGTCTCTACTAAAAATACAAAAAATTAGCTGGGCATGGTGGCGCGTGCCTGTAATCCCAGCTACTCCGAAGGCTGAGGCAGGAGAACTGCCTGAACCCAGGAGGCGGAGATTACAGTGAGCTGAGATCGCGCCATTGCACTCCAGCCTGGGTAACAAGAGTGAAACTCCGTCTCAAAAAAAAAAAAAAAAAAAGACTCTTGCATTACATCGGATAATTTCTTAAATACAGAAGCACGTGGCTGTTAAATGCAAAGACACCATTTTCCCCAGTTATCCCGGGCTCCGTGTCCTGTACCTCCATCTTCACTTTGTTGTCGCCAAAGCACAGGTGCTGCAGGTAGGCCGCTGCATTTGCCTGAACAGATGGGAACTGGTGCTGAAGCATGTGAATGACCTCGGGCAACTCAGGATCACGCCAGGCAAACTCCCTACATGAGAAAAACATGACTTCAGAAAGGAAGGCCCGTGTTGTAAAAATACACTGAACAAAAACATTTGTTATAAGGAAAAAAAGCTCAGCTGAGACAAAAATGAGAAGTTACAAAATTCCTACAAAATATATACCTAAATAATTTCCCCCCAATGAACATATGCAAAAGCCCAGATGCTTACGATCTTAAAGAAATCATGACGCACAGACACGCACAGAAAGAGACTCAGGGGAACAAAGAAAATTCTTAGTATAAGTAACTTTTCTACTCTAGTGTTCCTCCTCCTGATTCTAATTTTATGTCTTTCTACCTAGGTAGGAAATCTGCCAGGGCAAGGCAGAGGTAAACACGTGCACTTAGCGAAGTGAGATGTCATGCCTGAAGGGAGAGGAAGCGCTGGTGGGAACAGACAGAGCTGGTGTCAGCCTAGAAATCACAAACATTGTGGGCCTGAGGATTTTTAAGAAATAATGTTTATGGTTGCTCTTGAGTATAACAGAGAAACACAGAAAATTACAAAAAAGAAAAAAACGTTTGACCAGTAATCCTATACTCAAGATTACTGCTATTTCCTGGTTTTTCTATTTACGTGTGCAAATGTGCACACATGTGTGGGTTTTGGAATTTTCTCCATAACACTGGGTGATTCTTAAATAGCAGTTAATATTTCATAAACCCTTATCCCGTGTCAGGCACTAGCACAGGCATTTTATATATATTAATGTAGTCTTACAGCAACCTTAAAGATGCGGAAGTTGAGGCACACATGCCATGTACCCGGCCACGTGGCTGTAAGCAGCGGAGCGACACTCTGCCTTCAGAGTCTGTGCCCTCCGACACTACGCTTTACTACTTTTTTGAACAGTGAATATATAATTATGCTATGTACATATTCTTTTATACTTTGCTTTTTTTTCAGCTAACATCCATTTTCAGGATTTTCTAATGTCATATGATTGGCATACTGTTTAGAATTCTTGTTAAATGTGAGTTTATGCTTATATTATGTGAAGAGCAGATAGTTAGAAAATAACTCACAGAACAACAAATATGCAGACTCTGATTACAGGATAAAGTTGGTTGTTTATTAAAAAATTTTATTAATGCTACGTAAACCTTTAAAATTAATGACTGAGTGATACTTCTCTTGCCTGGTTTTTGAAGCCTTAGAGTCTCTCTTGGTCTGGGAAGGCACCATGTATTAACTTGTTAGACTAATGCAAAGGGAGATGTCATCCCACACCTGTGCACACACACACATCCACACACCACACACCACACACACTCAAACAGTGAGTGAATCCTCACTGTGAATGGTGCTGGAGATACAAATATTGTATAAGATATGATTCTATTTAAATAGGGTCTTCTATGCCAAACTAAAAAATTTAGTCTTAACCAATAACAGGAGTTATTCTTTATTGAGTTTACCTGTATTAGGCATTGTGCCAAAGGCGTTACACTCATTATCTCATTTACCTTTACTGTTGCCCCATGAGGTAAGCACTATCAAAATAACATTAGATACAGACAAGGAACCCAGGGTTAGTAATTAGTGGTGGAGGTCAGTGAAAATCAGGTGGTCTATGTGTGTCCCTACACAAAAGGAATGAAGGTTTTGAAGCAGGAGAGTTAGAGCATGTCACATGGTCACGTTTATACAGACCATAACTCTGGCCAAGGAGAGAAGGCCCTAGAATACAAAAAGATGGGTATCATGCAGACTACCCACTATCCACACAGGAATCCACACAATTGCAGGAAACAAAATAGACTTCTCTTTGATTTCTCTCTTTTCCTCATCTTCCTCACAGAATCCATCAAGTTCTGTTGACTATCTAACAAAATATTTAATATACAACAAATCCATCCATTTTCTCCATTTTGCCCAGAAAAGTCTTAAGTTTCCTATATCTCTCTCTGCTTCTAATATTATCCCACCCCCGCCTCCCCACCAAACTGCATCCCCAATCCATTCTTTATACAACAGCCAGATGATCTAAAAACTGAAATCAGGTATGAGATGGATTTTCTGGCTTGGGGAACAGGCTGGATGATGACGTCATTAACAGACATTAAGAATATAGCAAATGCAAAGGGAGGCAGGGTAACAGCAGAAAAAGCACAGAATATGGAGTTCGATTGCCTGGGTTTAAGTCTTGGGTCCTTTAATTTCTGTGTGATTTTGAAAACCAATTAACTGATTGGAGCTTCACTTTCCTAAGTTGTAAAACAGAATCAATGAAACTATTATTTCAGTCTTCACTGGTTGGTTGTGATGATTAAATGTGATAATGAATACTAAAATATTTTACATATTTTTACATCTGATACAGATGTTTTATTAATATTCATCATTCCTAAAAAAAATGAGCTATTCTGAATAGATGAATTCCTGGTAACAAATAGTTTTCCCCTTATGTATTGAAACTATGTCAATTATTTCTCATGAGAATCTGTCTAAAGCCTATTATGTAAATCTCTGTTGTAATTAACAGAGGGCAAAGACTGTGATTTACTCTTTCTTTGATGACTCACAATCATTACAAATATACATTTTTGTTCTCTTTAAATGGGACACTGAAGGTCAAGATTTCCTGACATCCCTGGGCACCATGAGGGCCAGACAGCCCTGAGGGTGGGTTCCTGCCAGAGCTGGGCAATTAGGTTTGCTTGGCTTCAACTCCATCCTTGATGTAAATTCAGGAGAAATCTACCCTGGAAGAATTGCTATCAATTTGTAGGCTGGCAGGATGGCATCAATGCTTGCCAGGATTTGCTTCAGTAAAACCTAAGCCCAGACTTCTGTTTCCAACCATGATAGAGTAACTCATACGGGATTTTGCCGTCCCACTGTAAACAACTATAAAAGTAAATTTAACTAAATGTAGGAGAAAACTGTTTTTAGGCCCTTGACAATAGGCAACACAAGAAAATAATCCTCAAGAAGAGGGAAACATCAGAGTCCCATGCTTACCCGGCTTTCTGCCTGGGGTCACTTTCTGGACCATGACACAGGAAGCGGAGGCCAAGTAGTATGTGTGGGATTTAATGAGCTGAGGTAGGGAGAGAGTGGAATTTAGGGGTGCCAATGTGGTTAGAATGTGCAAGGCAGAGTGCTGGAGACAAAGGAGCTAAGCAGAAGTGATTCTATGGGTTTGCATGTGAACTATCCACAAGTCCTTAGCTGTACCTTGGGCTATAGGGCACATGCACAGGTCTGGTGGAGAGCGGCTGCTGCACAACTGCAGGTAGCAGGTGATGTTGACTCCCAGCCTAGTCAGAGAGCAGACCTCACTGAGTACCTTGGGAATTTCGTCAAGACTCCACAAAGGCCAAGTTTTAGGATTAAGGAGCATGTTCTAAGGCTTAAAAGAAATATGAAGCAGACCTAACAATGAACAAAACTAATCTTGATGGGATTGAAAGGATCTGCCAGTAATTTAGTTCTCTTCCACAACAAAACTCAGCACCCTAACAGGAGACAACCTAATCCAGATTCCCTATATTGTATCATCTACAACAGCCAGTATATAATTTAAAATGACCAAACTTGAGAAGAAACAGAAACATATGACTTACAAATATATTAAAAAAAAAACAACCAATAGAAAAAGACCCAGAGAGACCCCAGATGTTAAAATTATCAGAGGAAAAATAAAATGGTTATGATAAATGTGTTCAAAGACTTAAAGAAAAAGATGTATATAAGGAGTGAATAAATAGAGAATCTCATAGGGACATGGAATATATAAAAAGGAACCAAATTCGAGTATTGGAAATAACACAAATTTGCATGGGCTTCACAATAGATTGTAATCTATAGGACAAAGAACACTAAATTTGAAGGCATCAATAAAAAATTCAATTAAAAGAATATAAAGAAAAAAAAATTTGGAAAATGAAGACAGCTTCAGTAATCTGTAAAATAATAAAGTGATCCTGTGTGTTTAATTGGAGTCCCAGAAGGAGAAAAAAGAGTTTGGAGCAAAAAAAAAAAAAAGAAAAAAACTTAACAGAATTAATGGCTGAAAATTTCCCAATTTTGACAAAAACATCAACATACATTACAAGGTTCTCAGTGAACCCCAAGCAAGTTAAATGCGAAGAAAATTATACTTAGGTTCATCAGAATAAAACAGCTGAAAGCTAGAGAAAAATCTGAAAAGCAGCCAGAGAAGTCACATTATATAATGAGAAGAATGATAGACATGATATCTGCCTTATCAGTAGAAACAATGGAGGTCTGAAGACAATGAATGATATCTTTTAAAATGCTAAAAGAAAAAAATATACACCTGTAAATCCTGAATTGTATATCTACCAAAAGAATCCTTCAAAAAAAAAGTAAAATATTTTCAGATTAACTAAAGCTGACAGAATTTGTTATAAGCAGACATGCAATACAAGAAAGGCTAAAGAAGTCCTTTAGGCCAAAGGGAAATGAGTTAAGATGGAAATGTGAATATACAGGAAGTCTTTTATGTTACTCCTTTCAGAAGCATCATTGGTATTATTAATAAATTTGGTTTCCAAGTAGATAACTATAAAAAAATCTCGTAGATTTCCTTTTATAACTTCCTCAGTCTTACAGAGAGTTTTTCAGGCTAACTGTAATGTAGCATTAACGATAAAGGCTTACAAGTAGATAAAAACTCAAGTTGTTATTTTCAAAACTAAAAATAGTTGTCATGAGCTTTTAATTTTGGTTTAAATATTCAAACTTCAGAGTCATCTGAATTCCAATTTCAGCTAGAATAAATGCACCTACCAATATAAGGTAATCATTTATTCACCTTACAAAAAGCATTATCAGTAAAGTTTCACATAATCAAAGCTAGCCATAACAGATTTGATTATGCATTTGACAATGAAATTATCATACTATGAATAGCTGAGGTATATTACCATACATGAAATTCTTGTTTATAGCAAATCAACTCATATTAGAGGTCAAAAGTGAAGTCTTCAGGGACACATATTAAACTCAAAGCTCTCATCACACTTCACTGCCTTTCTAGGTATCTATTATTTTCTCTTTAGGTCCAGCTAAGGGATGGTCTAAATTACCTACAATTCAAAACCCTTTTGGGAATTTCTGCAACTATTTGGGTGCCTTAGTTTTTTGTCATTTGAGGATTTGAAAAAACAAAATCAGTAAGAGTATCTCTGACAAGCTGTAGGTATTATTAGGCAAGTTATTTTTGAAACTTCTTAAAATGATAAAAAGGTGGCAAACCAGAAATAGCAGAACCAAATGCGTTTATAAAGCTTAAAGATTAGGAATAAAAGTGAATAAGTGAAGTGATTTTAGTGAAGCAGTGGACTTCCCATTTAACTCTGAAGTATCTTTAGTCATTTTGTTTTAATGACCAAAACCTCACTCATCATTTTAATTCACATTAAAACAAGTTGGTACGTTGCTAAAAATGAATTGATAATTATAACAATTTTCCAGTGAAGCAACTATTTGTGGGCGAAGAGTGAATGAAATCTTGCATGCACGCCTTAAAATAACACTAAAGCTGCTTAACATTTAGCAACAATTTCACTCTTTCAGAAATAAAAATTCTCTTTTAGTTTCAAAATATCTTTATTTCCTGAATATTTCAAATGGCTTTAAGGACAAGGTCAGTTTTTCAAAATCAATCATGTATTAAATGACTCATACTTATCTTAATAAAAAATGCTATTTACAGGGCCAAATAAAATCAGAAGGAGAAAATGTCCATGATTTGCCAAATACTTTTTGCTTATTAGATAGAATTTCTTATAAGGACTATCTTCTCCTAAATGTTGGAAAGTGTTTTCAAAGGACCTAGTTAATAAAAGCATTATATATTGTTGACCACTATGATTCAAAATGTATATGATATTGTCCTTTCTGCAGTTTAGAATAATCATATCCACTTTTTGAAGCTGTTATCTAAGAAGTTGGTCAGCATAAGGGCAAAGCGAAAAGTGATCCTTCAAAGCCTTGTTTAATTCTAAGAGGCTATTCCAGGTAGCTGTCTTGATAAAGTATTTCATTCAGTGATGAATGCTGCAGATATTCCCAAGGATCTGTGTATTCTCTAACTTATTATGAAAGGATGGAAAGAAGGAATCTATCTTTAAAATGAAATTAACCTCAATGACCTACATAGCTGGAATACAACTGGAAGTATTAATAGATATGGAATTAATGATAATACAATAGACTAAGCAACTTAAAAATACGTCAAAAAACTGGCTGACTCCTGCAATACTGTAGCCTTCTAGAAACTCCTAACTGGTACTTGCCTAGGGTCCTTCTGAATGCTGTCTATTGATGGGGATCTTGTGGTGCCATCATCAGCCAGCACTGCGTGCTGAAGCCTGTTGTAATTGTACTCTTGCACTCGGTATTGTATAGGCCTGTAGGGCTCCGCATAGGTAGCTGTTGTGTTCAGAGCATAATTATTTCTTTGGTATGTAAGGGTACTTCGTTGGCTGGACGTCCTTTGTAGATTTCCAATACCTACTAGAAAGTCAACATTTTGAAAAAGATTAGTATGTTCTCCATGAGATCACACTTTTTAAAAGGTAAAACATTTTTAATTTTAAGGACTATAGTTTTTGGCAATTATATAAATTGCTTACTTTTAGATTTTAAAATTCTACCTTATTAGTGCTAAAAAGGGTACTTACCTTTTTAATGTACATCAATATTTTGTTAATTTTACTAGCGAGAAAGGGCAAAAGTGAAACTACAACTCTGCTTATATAACAGGTCTTAATATGTTCATTAAGGTTCAGTAACAAAATTGAGAGAAACTCAAGAATCTTAGCGATAAATGATAAAACAGCAAAATTTCTTAATTTCATTCTAGTGGTTAAAAACAAGATATTTACTCAAATTTGTAAGTAACTAAAACCATCAAAATTTTTAACACTTAGTGTAGGCAGGTTACTTATTTTGTTCTACAGGAGTCTGTCCTTATCTTTTGGCTTTGCTTTCCATGGTTTCAGTTACCCGTGGTCAACTGTTACCCAAAAATATCAAATGGAAAGTTCCAGAAATAAGTAATTCATAAGTTTTAAATTGCATGCCATTCTGTATAATATGATGAAATCTTGTGCCATTCAGCTGTGAGCCCACTGGGATGTGAATAATCTCGTTGCCCAGTGTACCTATGCTATAGATGCTACTAGCATGTTAGTAATTTAGCAGCTGTCTTGACTATTAGATCAACTGTCTCAGCACCGCAGCAATCCTTGTTTTATTTAATTGTTCTGTTTCATTACTTGTTATTGTTAATCTCTTACTGTGCCTGATTTATAAATTAAACTTTATCACATGAATGAATGTATAGGAAAGTCATAGTATATACAGGGTTCAGGACTATCTGCCATTTCAGGCATTCACTGATAGTCTTGGAATGTATTCCCTATGGATAAAGAGAGACTACCATACATTTTGTTTCTAGACCTGTGGATTATAGTAACACTGGAAAATCTACTTCACAAGAGAGAAAAAAGACTGATATATTAAATTATTCTACAGCTCCTCCCCTAAATTATTATATAATGCTGTTATAAAGATACTGTACACTGTATTTAACATGACTTTCCTAATTATTGCAGTGGGTATCTCTCCAGTAACTGTATACATATTTCCCTGCAATTAAAAACATATTAAATATCTATTTCTTAGTCCTATTAAAGGAATTCCTCAATTTACAGACATAAGAAAAAGTGAAATATTTCTTTATTAACATCTATTACAAATTGTTACATTTTATTCAAAGATAAATCCCTCAGTGGATCAAAATGTCAATTTCCTGCAAAGAACCAATTCAAATACAGTCTTCCCAATCTGGTGTTCTGGTAGGTATGTCTCCTAGAGTTGTGCCTTTGAGGGGTTATTATTGCTACCTAGGATTCATTTGTAAGCATGTTAATAAATCTGTGATGTTTCTTAAAAGAAAAAAAAAAGCAGTCTTGAGACTGCATGAGCCAGCCCTGCAGCATGACCTGGCAGCTCACAGCACCATGGGCTACAGCTTCCGCTCTACCATCCTTGATGGTGTGGCATAAACATGAGAACTGGCAGTACAAGGGTCTGATGCTCCAGCTCCCTGCTTTTATAAAATGTCGCTATTGAATCCTGTCTTGGTTTGAGTCCATTGCAAGGGGTATCTATTTCACATTCTACATTTAACTATTCAGAGAACATCCAACATTTAAAAAGGAGTAATGCCAAATATACTTGGGCTTCATGCTTGCTCAGTCAAAGATAGCCAAGTAACTTATGTATGGATTTTCTCCAAAAACTTGTTTGGCAAAAAAATTACAAAGAAATATTCCAACAGGGCTTTCCTTTGATATTGGATATGCAGCTAACCTGAGGAGAGTCAGATTTACAGTCTTACAAACTTATTCCTGAACTAACAGTATAATCACTATGTTCATTGATTAGATTGTACTAAGGTAAAAATATATCACCTGTAAATAGGTACTAAATGAACCGGTTTCATTGCTTATTGATCTGCTGTCACAGCTGCTTATATGACAACCAAATGGGCAACATGATTTCCTTCTAACAGGGAACCCAACCTCAATAAAATGCTTCTACTACAGAGCCTGTGAATTTGGGAAGTCAGTAAACAGAGCTGGTGCCCACCTGAGCCTGTGCGATACAACGCCGTCTGCGATCCTTGGAGCTCCACAGTTCCGTGGTTTGGGCTGCGGTACACTGGGCTGTAATAGGTCCTCCCCTCATATATAGGAGTAATGTGCAAGTCGGGAGACACAGTGGAACGAAGGTCTTGCCCAAGCTGACTGTGCTGACTAGCGTAGGAACTCCGTAAGCCTAGAGGCACGAAAATTACATCATTAACAACAGAAATCACATTAAGGTTAAAAACATAAACTCTAATGAAAATCCTAACCCAGCATTTTGAAAGGCAGAGGTGGTAGAATGGCTTGAGCTCAGGAATTTGAGAGCACTCTGGGCAATAGAGTGAGGCCCCGTCTCTACAAAAAATAATTTCAAAAAATTAGTTGGGTGTCGTGGTGTATGTCTGTGATCTCAGCTACTTGGGAGGCTGAGGCTGAAAGATTGCTTGAACCCAGAATGTTGAGGCTGCAGTGAACCAAGATCATGCCACTGCACTCCAGCCTGGGTGATCAGTTGAGACCTTGTCTCAAAATAAATAAATAAATACATATATATATAGATACATACTAAAAAAAAATCCTAACCAATAGGACTAAGTGTTAAGTCTAAACACTAAAACTAGTAAGTTTTACCAAAGAGAAATGCCACAAGTGAAAAGGACTTTATATATATATTTTTAAATAAAACTTTCTCTTGTCAGCAAGATACAAGTACGTCTTCTAAGAAAATTAAAAAATTAATTGATTTGATATGCTGAGATTCGTCCTCCAATAAGCTACTTTATGATGGTGACCAAACAGAGAATGACCTATTATTATATCATTTCACTTTAAAAGTCTTATACAAGCAGTGGTTCATGCTGCTCTCTTCCTGCCCTGCAGACCTACCAGTCTCATTTAGTGGACAATCAGCTTCCCTCTGGGCACAAGGCCCACCATCTCGCACCTCTTTAAATCCCAACATCTAAGAGAATGCCTATATAATGTACTTGGTAAAGGCTGATATTTAAAGGCTGATATTTAAAGGCTGTTTTGGGCTGGGGGTGGTGGCTCACGCCTGTAATTCCAGCACTTTGGGAGGCCGAGGTGGGTGGATCACCTGAGGTTGGGAGTTTGAGACATGGAGAAACCCTGTTTCTCCTAAAAATAGAAAATCAGCCGGGCATGGTGGCACATGCCTGTAATGCCAGCCACTTGGGAGGCTGAGGTAGGAAATTCACTTGAACCTGGGAGATGAAGGTTGCGGTGAGCCAAGATTGCACCACTGTACTCCAGCCTGGGCAACAAGAGCGAAACTCAGTCTCAGAAAAAGAAAGAAAGGAAAAAAAGCTGTTTTGAAACATTAACTCACATATAACTTTTACATAAAAACACTAGAAATTTTATGCTATAAGTTTTGTATTATTAGTGAACTAATAATGTTAAGTACTATAAAATACTATTTTCCTATGTTTGTTTTTCCTTTTTTTAAAAAAAAATCAAACCCAAAAACTGTTGTTTTTATAAGAACTCACATACCAGATTCTTGTTTACCTTCTTTCTAGTATAAAGAAAAAATACAAAGTTAGTAGTACATGAACATTAAATCATTTTAAATATTTTGATTCAAACTGCTAATAACTAATGTTTACACATAGGACTCATGATAAAAATGTATACCGCAAACCCAAATATTTCATTTTCTTAAAAAGATGGAATGAATATTTTCTACATTATGATGCTCAGAAGTTTGTGATTTGCATCATTGGTAAGTAAAGTCTGTCACTGTAGAAATATCAACGAAGGGGTACATCCCAAATATAAGAGAAAGCACAAACACAGCTGAAGTTAGTCAGCATATATTTGCTTTTAAAAAAATGGCAAATCATTAACAAAGTAAGTAATTACAAAAAGATAAGATTGGCCTGGCACAGTGGCTCACGCCAGTAATCCCAGCACTTTGAGAGGCTGAGGAGGGTGGATCACAAAGTCAGGATTTCAAGACCAGCCTGGCCAACATGGTGAAATCCTGTCTCTACTAAAAATATAAAAATTAGCTGTGTGTGGTAGCCTGTAATCCCAGCTACTTGGGAGGCTGAGGCAGAGAATTGCTTGAACCTGGGAGGCAGAGGTTGCAGTGAGCCAAGATTGTGCCACTGAACTCCAGCATGAACGACAGTGACTCCATCTCAAAAAAAAAAAAAATCGTTCCCATCCTGTTAGCTCAGTTAATCAAATCACAAGTAAAAGCAAATGGCCCTGAATATGAGCGCTAATTATATGTTGCTTAGTGAGGAGTGGCAAGAAAGTTAGTGCATGCATAAAGCTTCTAAAGTGAGTGAGTATTACCTCCTCTGGACAGCAATGTAACAAGGAAAGAAACTAACTGAATCAACGTGGGTTTTAGCTACTGGCTCCCCTCTTGCTATAACAAAGACCACAGGTTTATGCAATCTTTTAACTGGGAAATTATCCAGCCAAACCTCATTTCAAAACTGAGAAAAGAGAGTCCAAAAGGAAATGTGATTCGGCCCCATCGAAGAGCTACTTCCTTGCAGAGCTGAGAGGAAAACACAGATCAGTGCTCTGTCATTATACACACAACACTGGACACAGCTATCCCTCACGGAGCAATGGCATGTGATGTGAAAAGTCTGAACTCCAGAGAGTCCTCCACAAACATCAGGTTAAAGAGGAAGGTAAGCTCACCTAGAAGCAGGCCATGGAAACCAACCCTAAAGATGACACTATGATTGCTGTTGCAAAATTCCCTTGTGAAGATTTCATCTTTTAAGTCGCTGGCCAATTTCTCAATATTATTATTACTATTATTTGTTTTAACACAGTCTAAACTCTATTTTTTTATGGAGCCCATGAGTATCTTAGACAAAAGTGCACAGTTTTTGTTAACAGCGACATGAAGCAGACAAGTGAGTGTACCTAGTCCTTGATAATCTTATCAATATGAGGTACTGTTGTAACACCCACTAGAGCCACAGACCCTCTTGACTCAGTGCAAGACACTGAGGATTATTTATACTTGGACAGAGCCAAGCCAAGGACTGGATGCTTCTGATGTTTGTTGAGTCCCGTGCTTCCACTACCACAGTGGGATGTCAAATAAGACAAAGCATTCTGCATAATGATTACAATGTTATATTTGCATTCTATAAGTATCTGGCTAGATTCTTCACTGGAATCCATGCAGTCTGAAACACTGACTATGATTTCATGAGAAAGGTAACAAAATGAGCTCTTTGCCATTTAGAACTATAAAAAGTAAGTAGCAGATATTCACTTGTTAAAGGATCATTAGTAAATTGAAATTACTATTACGTGATAGGCTATGACGGGAAATAAAAGACTTAGAAAAGTAGTGATATATAGCACTTTCCCTTTTGAATAACATAATAATGTCTACTACTATTTTTGTTTACCCATGTTTAAAAACATGTCGGTATGATCCTACAGATTAGTATTTTAAAAAATTACAGTAAATAGCCTCTGTAGATTAAGCAGAATATTATGTGTAGGAAGCTCACTGTAACGTACTATGACTGAAACTGGAATTCAAATAATTACCTTCTATAACTGTTATTTGAAATAATTTTTTCAAAAGTGTTTCCACAGATTAATTTTTAATAACATTACTTCTCCTTCCAAATAATGGAAAAACACTGATATGCCACTGTATTATTTATCCAACCAATACTTTCATTTGCGATTCCACAAACACATATTAGTTTAGCTACTATTATAGTGATTCCATGTGATTCAAAACCTTTATATTTATGGCATTAGAAATAAACATAAATTTATCTTTCAAAGATCAAGTTTTCTTGACATGCTATGATTATTCTGAAATGAGCATTTTAGGACACATATATTTTCCTGTAGTAGAAAGTAAGTTTGTGTCATCATTTAAATTATGATGACCAAATATCCAAGTCCCTGAATCTAGTACAAAACATTGCTTTAGGCTTATCAATTAGCAGAATATTAGTCCTTTGAAATCGAGAACACTTTGCTTCTTGAGAACACTGCAGTATTTCTAGAAAAAAATCACTTAGGGGCTAGGCCTAATAAATAGACATTATATATACTTGCCCCTCATCCAAAATATAAAGTCTAATTTTACCTGCTTTGTTAGAGAAACGGTCTGTTTAAACCAGAGGAAATGAGCCCTCTTAGGGTTAAACATGGAGACAATAATTTATGTGCTGGCTTCCTTCCTCTTGTCTCATCTTTACTCTCTTACAAGCAGAAATTTCTGCATAGCTGTCCTAAACACACACGGGGAATATGGAAGTCCTCAGAACTATTTATTGTCTAAGGTTTCCTTGGGAGGTAGAATTTCATAAATAATTCCTACATCATTTTGCTGCATACGTTTCAGAGGCATTCCAGAAAATGTCTATGCCAAGCACACTTCCCGGATGGGTGAATGAAAAAGAGGTGGTTTCTCCACTAATAATTTATTTGAGTTCAAAAATCAAGTTCTATACAAATTCTCCAGGCAAAATTATTCAATCAGAAAAATCTCAAGAAGGCTTAAACTTTCCTAGAAGCCATAAAAAAGATACTAATTTTACTATATAAAAATGTTCAACAGCTTTGTAAATTAAAAAATCCCCAAAATGAAATAAAAAGACAAGTGACAAAATGGAAAAAATACTTGAGAAGCATATTACAAGGTTGCTATTGCTAGTAACAAAAAAAAAGCTTTCACAAATTATAAAAATAGACAAAGACTTGAATTTATAATTTAACAAAATGAAATAAAGCAGTTGATAAACAAAGGAAATCTCCAGCCTCAGTCATAACTCAATAAAAGCCCTTTAAAACAATGAGTTATAGCTTTTTACCCATCAGACTGGCAAAGATGAAAAACTTGGAATATGTAGCACTAGTGCAGTGTAGACAAGGTCTAGAAAAACAGGCACTCAAACTATTGGCAGAAATATAAATCCGTGTGTAACTTTCTTAGAAGGCAATTCTAAGTAATATCTCTCAAAGTAAAAATAAACACATATTCTGATGCAGCAATTCTACTGGATCCCAGTTACCCTAGTACTTATGTGAAATATGTAGGAAGAAGAATGTATACTACACAGTCTCTAACAGCTAAACATAACAAACAACCTAAATGTCCATTAATAGGAACATGACAAATAAATTATGATATATCTATAAAAAATGAGTCCCAGGAATCTAATAAGAATGAGGTAGAGCTCTTGGACATAGTAAGTGAAAAGAACAAAGTATAGAAGATATGTATGATAGAATTCTCTCAGTAGAAAAGAAAATACAATGTGTGTGCAGATTTGCCCGAATCGTGTAAATCTGTAAATGCAAAGAACGTTCTGGAAGTCATATCAACTGTGATGGGACTGGGTGAGCTTGAGACATTCACTTATTTCATATTTTCTTGCACAGTTTTAATTTTTACCATTTTGTATACGTTACTTTAAAAATATTATTTAAAACACTAAAGTTACATTGCATTTTATTTAAAAGAACCAAATCTTTCCATCATGTGGGAAATCCTCCACAAAAAACCCTGAAGTTGGCACAGTGGTCTTTTTGCTTTAATCGGAGTGGCATGTAAAGGTAATTTATAAGGACTTTGTGCCAAAATTTTCCATTAACATGCCAAAATCAAACGGGATAAAATTAATAGTCTAGTCTACATTACCAAAGTATTTCTAAAGAAAACATTTAAACAGATATTCTGATATCCCCTTTTAATGTAACTTTAGGGTATGTTTAGGGGTAGGCCTGGTTGGTTAAAAAATAATTCATTAAAAAAAAAATGGTCAACAGCTTAGAATTCCAACTAATATTTCTGAAATGCAAAAAAAAAAAAAAAAAAAAGTACATTTTAAACCCTAATATTTTGAGGGGGAAAATATTACAAAAGAGTAATCCATTGCAAAAGGAGTTTATTGACATAAATGAATGTAATTTCATGTACTAAGAATTACAGAGCCTGAAAGACAAGTTAACCTGAAGTTTATAGTGTACATTCTGAGATTAAAAACATGAATGAGCCTTTTCCACTTTTTCATTCTCTGTTTCAGCTTTAGTTACATGGAAGATTTCCTCACTGGGTTTTATGTAGCACTGTTACCTTGTACGTACCTGTCAGGCTGTCTGGCCTGGGTGGAACCATCCTCTCATAAATGTCATACTGCTGCTGTCCGAATTGCTCCATGTCATGAACAGTCCTTTGCAGTGAAGGTCCCAGATGCTGTGGTACAGCGGTCATCCCTGAGCGTTTGGGGGACGACGACCCCACCTGGCCTTGGGATGGGGAAGCTACTCGAGTCTGTGCATCCGTCAGGGTCAGTGGGGACCCCACTCTGGTGGTGGTTTGGTACTGAGGGGTTGGTCCGTTGGGATTGGAGGTCTGCCTGGAGGTGACTGACCCAATCCGCCGTATAGCTGTTGGGGAGGCGGGTCTCTGTGAGTACGGAGAGGCTGCCCGCGGAGCAGGTAATGTGGTGGAGGAATATGCACTGGGGTTCAGAGGTCGGGGGTCAGTCACTGACGGAGAGCCAAATCCACTACCCAGAGAAGTTCTCAGTGACCCCCTTGAAGGAGACACGCCTGTGCTGATAACATAAGAAGGAGACTGTGCTCTAGATGGAACTGAACTAACTCTTCTCATGGCCCGATTGGCTACTGATGGCTGATGAAAGGGGGGAAAAAAGAGAATGGGTTTATCCAGGGTATTGTGTTCATTGCTGTTACAAAAGAAATACACATCGCTCACTACCGAATGTGACACTATTTATTTTAGGTGTCTGAGTTTCTTTTCCTTTTTATGCTTTGAGTCAGACATTAACTTTTCCTCACGGAGCTTTGCTTGTTCTACATATTTTTTCTTTTTGGTGGTTTAAACCAAATGCTAAAATCAACCAGTAAAAACAGATCTGAAGACATTTAATACTCCTTTTTTATCTTTACATTTTTTACTCTTGCCTATGTGTTTTTCACAGCACATAAAATGTTTTATTCTAAGTGCTACATGTCATTCATGAGCGTGAAGGGGCACTGGAACAATGTACTTACTTCATTCCCTGTGAGGCAAAGTTTGGCCAATGCAATGCATTTATGTAAAACAAAAATTTAAATAGAATTTGAATATATCAGTCCAAGTGTAGCTTAGTAGAATATTTATCATTGTTTTTCTTTATGGGTTGGTCCCATTAACAAAAGGAACATGCTCTTTCAATGTAGAATAAATGAACATTTGGATCAAGCGAGGGTCTGGCGCTCTCCACTATGAATTTACTTTGGGGAATAGCTTGGCTACACAGGTGCTCTAGGCAAATTTGTTGATTCCTTTAGATCAAGCTTAGCTTCTCCTGACTTTAGCCATTTCTTTTTACCCCTTCTGATCTATGAGTTCTTAGCTTTAGTTGGATTTCAAGAGATGCAAAAAGAGGCACCCCAAAATCTATTCCAGCAGGAGGAATGCTCAAAGCCTCTGTTGGATTCTTGGCCTAGCCAGCTGGAAAAGACCAGGATAGAAAATGAACATTTCTGCCATGGCTGATCCTACCATGAATCTGGTCATTCCTGCAATTACAGCAGATGCTGGACACTGTTCTTGATGCTGTGCAACAATAAGAAGGAATGGCTGGACTGGAGAAGGGGCCCAAATGGAACATGCATGGGAAAAAGGAGAGCTGACTGAGAAATGAGAACAGACACAGGGCTTCAGGTTAGACGCCCAGGACCAGGCTGCTCTGTTACCTCCTCAGTGACTGCCAGAGTCCAGCTGTCATCAACCCACATCCACTTTTAGTTAGAGAGGTAAGGAAGGAAGCAGGGATCAGATAAGGGCTTTTATACCCTTAGAGGTCACATGAGGGTGTGTGCTTTGTGTCCAGGTGTCACATGCAACTGGGCTGGCTGACACACTTGCTGTGAGATCTCACTCTGTGCTCAAGTTCAACAGTTTGGGGAAGGTAACAGCAGTGGAGAAGACACGGGGAGGAAAGAGGATGGTAAACTAACAACAAGGCAAAAAGATGGGGTTTAAAAATTAGTAGATAGCTAGAAAGTCAACATGCATGGTCGGGGCTGCGTGTGGGAGCTGACACCTATAATCCCAACACTTTGGGAGGCTGAGGAGGGAAGAATTGCTTGAGACCAAGAGGTCGACACCAGCCTGGGCAACATAGTAAGGCTCGGCCTCTACAGAAAACACACAAGCAAAAAAATTAGCTGGGCGTAGTGGTATATGCCTGCAGACTTAGCTACTCCAGGAGGCTGAGTCAGGAAGATCTCTTGAGCCCAGGGGATTGAGGCTATATTGAGCTGTGATTGTGCCATATTGCACTTCAGCCTGGGTAACAGAGTGAGACCTTGTCTCTACTAACTAAAAAAAAAAAAAAAAATGACTTGCAACTATCAAAATAAAGTGATTGTTGATCCAGACAACTAGAAAATGTGTTGCCTAGACTACACGCAAATTAAGTCTCAGACAATCCGCTACAAACAATTCCTTAGCTCTAGTGACAAAATTAACTTACTCGTAAGTTAAAGAAAAAAGTGTTTACATGATCACTATTAAGGGCAATAAAATTTATATAGATATAAGGTAACTGCTGTTGAAAAGTGTGATTTCAGACCTGGTGACATAGAAATTCACCTAAGCAGATGAATGCCTATAAGCATTTAGTCCAGTGCTTCTCAAACTTTTCCACCAAAGCATCCCTGACAGCCAAGGAGTAAATGTATAATGTGAGGACTAGGGATATAGCCTGAAGTTGCCACATGCACAAGATGTCCCATTTTAGCTTGAAAAAATTCATGTTCTATATTTGTATTTAATACAAACGTTTTAAATGACTTTGAAATTTCTCCTGAATTGCTAAGCAAAAGTGTCAAAGTTGTATTATGTTTCTCTGTGGGCACTGGGAACTGTGACCCACTGCTGTGCCTGGAGAGCTTCCTGTATTGCATTGGAAGAAGCAAGTGTCCACTTAACTTATTTGATCATCTTGCTACTTTTCAGCTCCAAAGCAAGCACTGGGGTTTTCGGGTCCTGGCATAGATAGTTATCCTCACTGGTCACTACCATGCAGAACTTCTATTGCCTCTCTGAATCCTGGCACATGTTGGTGGATGATGTGAATACAGTGGTAATGAGAAAGGAGCTAAAGAGTTTTATAAATATACATGCAATATATATTTTTTGCTATCATGTTAGAGATATGTTAGAATGGATATGTTTCTATACAATAACTTTCTTTAGGCAGGAATATCTATATTCTAGTGAGAAAAGTGTACTGTTAGAGAACAATTCTAGAGGTGATGGTAATAATCTTTGGTTAGAATGAGCAAATCCCATTTTATGCAGGTGTGGGAATAGCGCCCTGCCCTCTAGAGCTTTTTATAGCATATTTTAGCCCTAGTATTTTTAGGAACTCATAATCCCTCAGGGACCAAAACATTTCATGCAACCCTCTTACATTCCCCTTAGATTCTTCTCCTCATGCCAAACTTGTTTCCAGAAGAATTACTCTACTGTGTCATCAAAATTCATCAATGGGAGATAACTCATAGAAACAAACATGTTTAACATTGTATCTCAAGTAGAATAAAATGAATTTGCTATTTTATCCATTCTATACAAATTGTACATATTGATTGTTAATAAGAAATACCTCTAACAGATATTCAAATAAAAGACTATTTCTTTCTTTTTCTTTTTTTTTGAGACGGAGTTTCGCTCTTGTTACCCAGGCTGGAGTGCAATGGCGTGATCTCGGGTCACCGTAATCTTCGCCTCCTGGGTTCAGGCAATTCTCCTGCCTCAGCCTCCCGAGTAGCTGGGATTACAGGCATGCGCCACCATGCCCAGCTAATTTTTTGTATTTTTAGTAGAGACGGGTTTCACCATGTTGACCAGGATGGTCTCGTTCTCTTGACCTCGTGATCCACCCGCCTCGGCCTCCCAAAGTGCTGGGATTACAGGCTTGAGCCACCGCGCCCGGCCGCTTTTTTTTTTTTTTGAGATGGAGTCTCACTCTGTTGCCCAGGCCAGAGTGCAATGGCACAATCTCAGCTCACTGCAACCTCCGCCTCCTGGGTTCAAGCAATTCTCCTCCCTCAGCCTCCCAAGTAGCTGGGATTACAGGTGCTCACCACCACACCCGGCTATTTTTTGTATTTCTAGTAGAGACAGGGTTTCACCATGTTGGCCAGGCTGGTCTCGAATTTCTGACCTCAGGTGATCCGCCCGACTAGGCCTCCCAAAGTGCTGGGATTACAGGCGCTCACCACCACGCCCGGCCGGAGGGTATTTCTTTGCAGAGATCTTGATGTGTTTAGCTTACCTGAACCAGTGTTTGTCCTTCAGCTCTTGAATTCCTCACCACATGGTTGTTAGTTGATCCTATAAATGAATGCTGCTGTCTGTTGTCTGCCTTGCTCACGTTCTGGCTGTTGTGGAAACTCCCTGCTTCCTGGTATCCACTGTCGGAGTAAGAATTCATTTGTGTTGAACTTCTTGAGTTACCCAATGATCCTGCAAGAACGAAACCAGGAAATACCTTTATTATACACACTTCTGACACTCACTTTCAATAATAAAATCTTTAAAAACAAATCCAATACTTAAAAGATAACACAACAGACCCTCACTTTCATGGAGAGATGTCTGTTCTGGTGAATAGAGGGTTCCTTGTTCTGGCTCTGTCCTGATAAGATAGTTGTTGGGATGGACAGCGTCAGAAGCTCTAGATTTGCTTACACCAGTATTTGGCACATCTGTAAAAAGAAAAGTTTAATCAGCTAAATATAATAATATTACATTAAAACTTGCTAAAAAAGGTTCAGGTATTTGTCAACAGCATCTTAGAATCTACATGATATTTTTTCACCTTATATAGCACATTTGACTCTTACCTATATGAATCTTCCATATATTTATACTTCATTAATATATTTTGCTGAATTTCATAAATGCTGTTTTTTGGGATAAGTCTCAATATTAAATCACAATCTGAAAACTGATCCTGGTCCCCTTGGAAAATTGACCTTTCAGATACCTTCTTCTCTCTTATCAAGAGACTGAGAACAAAGACAAGTATTTTAAAAAGGGTCCTCTAGCTTCCAAATGATTAAAAATGAAAACTTACACAATGTTCACATTATATGAGCTTGGTGATGAAACCTCTGAAGGTAGAGTCACATTTTATGTTATAATTCACGTCACCTACAGTCAAAGGAACTCTACAAAGTTTTAGAATTGTAAACAATGAAAACTTTCTTGTTCATCTGCTTATTTTATTCTCTTAGCCTTTGTTAAAAGACTGCAGGCAAGTCTAACCTCATCATTGTTTCTTCCAGCCAAACCCATCTCTTTCATTATCTCCTTTTATTTAAATGTACCATTTGCCATCTTGAACTTGGAAAAAAAACCCCATTCAAACTTGTTTTTCTATGCTGTAAACTTAGGTGGTGTAGATCATGCTGCCTCTTCCCAATTCGATTCCCATATGTCCTTCTTACTCTAATATCTGCAAAATATATTTTCCAATTTTCTGATGGACTTCAATACAAGCCATTCCTTCCTCACATTTAACCCTGATATTACTAACAAATTTTTTTTTGTCAGAAATGCTGCTTCACTCTCACTTCAAAGATTCTAATTAAGTTCTTATCACATTCTGAGTTAAACATACAACCCTAAGGATTTAAATGTCTATTTCCTTCCTCCCTCCCTGTCTCCCTCTGGGCCCGATTACACGCCAGGCCCTAGGAAGTTATGAAAGAAGACATGTGGGGTGTGTGTGTGTGTGTGTGTGTGTGTCTGGGGGAATGGAGCTTAGGAAAATTTTCCTAAATAGAAGTAACATCTAAGCAGCATCCATTTACACAGGAGGCCAGTTTTTCTTTCTGTACAGTACTTATAATCATATCTCCCCACTACAATATTATCTGGTTTGTTTATTGTTATATCCTCAGTGTCTAGGATGGTGCAGAGCACTCAGTAGGTGCTGAGTAAATATTTGTTGAACAAACAAATTCCCAGTAACAGCAGCAGCTTCCCTTTACGGAATGCTCACTCATGTCTGGCATTACACTGTGGCTTTATCTTACTGTGTTCAATAAAGTTTGGCTATGTAAAGCAAAGTAAAATTTTTAGGGACTGCTGATTAAGCTGCTTTAAAGGTGAATACAAGGTTTAGGGAGAAGTGGGAAATCCCACTGTATTCTAAACCTTTAACTTGATGTCAGATTCAATCCAAGGTTTTGTTTCCTAGCCTCTGGAAAGATTAGCTGACATTCTTAGATAGGTTTTTAACGACCTGTCTCCTGCTATATTATTTGACAGAATGCTTTTATGTGGTAGATTTCTGTGACAGTACTGATTGCTTAAGTTTAGAATTTCAGCAAAGATTAAAGAGTGTATATGGTTTCTCTGGTACACATTGAAACATGAGCTGAGTCACTGTCAGGCTAATACCAGAAAGTGATCTGCTTCACTTGTATGTCTTCTGTCATAAGTTTCCAGAGTTCTAGACATTCTTATATAGTAATTCTTAAAGGAGTTTTGCTGAGGACTAAGTAAAATGCTAAGGAATTGGAATAGCTGGGAAGAGCTGCACAGGTACTGGCCTGAAATCAGAGCTATGCAGAAAAAGATGCTCAGATAGTTCTCAGCTTTGGTTTAATACAAGGTAAAATCTGGGCTACCAATATATTAAAGCTTTTGGCTTAGGAATACTAGACAGCATGTAGTGTCAGGGTCTCAACATTTTTCACCATGGAAACCAAAACCATTAGAATTTTATGTAAGATGCCCACCATCTACTTTTTTCAAAAAGCTATTCAGAGCTTAAAAAACAAAACAAAACAAAACAAAACAAAACAAAAAACAGGAAAAGGGAAACATATACCCTAAAAAACTGTAGCTCAGCAATTCTGTCTTTTCACTCAATGGAACATATTCTCAGAAACCATGTGACAATCTTGCTCATTTAAACTCTTCTTTATGAGCAGCTATTTAAAACAAATAACCTTAAAGAAAGCACAAATCATGAGATACGTGATTCCATACTGTTTGCCCTAATAAAACTTCATGAAATTAGTATCTCGAACAATACAAAATAATTATAAAATTAATAGAAGAGCCATATACCTTTTAAATATTATGACCTGACTCTGTTTCATATATTTTTTATTGCAATCCCCCAGAAAACAGAATATAGAAAAGGACACTGAGATGCTAACTAGAAACTAAAATACCAAATTCTCATGAACCCAGAATCCAATGTCAAAATCTAAGTAACTGGGTTTAAAGGACAGAGCTTAGGTTTTGTGACCTATATTTAAGTAAATATAAAACTAAAAGTTAATAAAAGATTTATTTAAAATGAACTACAAAGCAATCAACTTCTATATTATAAATAAGGTCTTCAGTTATTTTTCTTTTCTTTTCTTTTTTTTTTTTTTTAACGAAACAGTCTCACTCTGTTACCGAGGCTGGAGGGCAGTGGCATGATCTTGGCTCACTGCAACATCCAACTCCTGGGGATCTTGTGATCTTGTGCCTCAAGTGATCTTGTGCCTCAGACTCCTGAGTAATTGGGATTACAGGTGTGTTCCACCACAGCCACCTAATTTCTGTATTTTTAGTAGAAACGGGGTTTCACCATGCTGGCCAGGCTGGTCTTGAACTCCTGACCTCAAGTGATCCACCCACCCTGATCTCCCAAAGTGCTGGGATTACAGGAGCCACTATACTTGGCTGTTCAGTCATTTTGCTGTTTCCTTAGCAGAGCCCAATGATAATAAATAGCTGCAGAGATCAAAATATCCTGAAATACTTTGATTTATGAAAAGATATTTAAATGGTTTTCAAAACAGTTTTACTACTATGTTGTTTCTCTGAAAATTTGTAATCCACAAATTATCTATATACATGTATAAACCTATGTATGCACAGCCATCATATCTCAGGCAAACTGAAGATACACCTTCTAATTTCACTGGATAAAGTATTCTTCATTGTAGTATGGTAAGGTTCAAACCAATTATGTATTATTTAAACAATCCTACTTTAAAATGAATGAATTTTAGAAACCTCTGCTATATGGAATGAAAAATGCTAGTCAGATTCACTAGAGAAAACACAGAGGCATATAGTGTGCGGTTAACCATTTCATGATGAATGCTGTATCCTACAATTAAATAGTTGGTCTATTACAGTTTAGCATAGTCAGAGTAAGAAATTCTGACATTTTTACAAGTAAAAATGGCAAAGAGCATGTGAAAGTTACTTCTGTAATCTGTATACTGAAGAACATGTGTTACTTAAAAAAAAAATCACAAACATGTTTTCTGGGACACCAGAAATATACTATGGGGAATTTTCAAACATCAAATTAGCATCTTCGAAGAAAATGTATATCTAAAAATATAAAAATTGAACAAGCTTCAAGGTAGAATGAAATCCCATCTGTGCCTAAGACTACAAAATTATTGAAATCATGGACCTTCTTCTCTATGGCATTTCATTTGAGTGCTCTAATACTTAAAAAAATGTAATTGGAAAAAGTGTTAGGTTGCATGTAGGAAAAATACTAGCGAGTAAGGGACAATAACACTATAGCGCTATGAAAATCTGGTATATTATCTATCTCATTAAGCTAATGGTAAAAGACAGAATACAAAGTGAGTTATCGTTTTTATAATGTGCATCCCCAAATATACAGAATGGGCATGTTTAGTAAAAGAGTCTAAGGCTTCTCTAATGAACCTCAAGTTATTAAAATGGTTCTGCTTTGTTAATCTATGTCTTGCTGTATGAAACGAGGTCTGTACTGTGTGTAAAATCACCATGGAAACAGGAACTGAAAGATCAGTAAGGAGATTTTTAGTATAGACAATCCTGTGACTAAGTCTTTCACAGTCCAGAACACTGGAACCTCATGATGGGTTCTCCTTGTTTGTGTCTGTTTTGAGTTGCTCTGGTGTTTAGGGATTTGCCCTTACATAAAATACAGTGCAGTGTGAGTTCTGCTAGGTCTCTTTGGAGGGCAATAGCACATAATGTTAAGGCAGAAGATACTCTCCTTGGTGGTTTCTTTAAACTCTCTGGCTTGTGAGCTGAGGTTAGGCTGTCATACTCAGAGGGGCAACATTTTGTGGAAAAAAAATGAGTAGAAAATTGTGTTACAAGGACTCTACTTCCTGTTTGGCCATGGGCTCTCCTTTTCTGTAGGACCACAGGCTCAAGAGGGTGTCCAGTTTCCACAGAAGTGCATAAATCGTCCAGTACCTCTTATGGCAAAAAAGTAAAGCCAAATTCTGGAAGAGGACATGGTAGGCTGCACCAAAAAGATTTCTCCTCTTTAGTACCTTCTGTGACATACAAAATTTATTTATATAGCAGGTTTGCTTATCATCAAAGGGAATGAGGTCGGAGAAAACCATGCTGCAGAGTAAAAAACAATGTTTCAGGGTGATGGAAACATGAAGCACCAATAGTATTCCAACCTCCATGGGAGAAAATACAACTTGACAGATATTTTAAGAATACTACAGATACTTGCAGTTTGTTGATTCAAATATAAGCTACTATATACATAGGATATCATTTATAAGTTGGATTTTAATGGAAGTGAAGATATAAGGAAAGGCAGAGAGACCATGTTTCTTGAAACTATTTCTGGTCCAGTTCTTGAATATTTCTAGATTCTTGGGTCAATATTAATTATCCTTATTAATATTGAAAGGATAATATAAATATTATATAAATA